GAGTTGATTGGAGAGTAGACGGAAAGCCATGTCGAAAATGGCTTTATGTCGATTAAATTAACAGTACTCAATACAAATTCATTATTTTATTAACTTCAGTCTAGTTATTACCACTAGCCATCCTAAGCTTTATGAAATTAATAAGAAAATGCGAGTTTTCTGGAAAAATTCACCGATGAAGTTGATCCATCTTTGCCTTTTCCGTCTTGCAATTTATTTCAATACCTGTTTGTGAATACAAATATTGCAGTGTTTTATCATGCACATTCAATGAATGCCGTGCCGTGGGCAGAACAGAAAATGGCAGTCGTGCCGTGGCGCAGCGCGCCGTGTGGCGCCGCGAGGCGTGGCTTCGCGAGGCGGCCGCCAGGCGCCGTGGCGGCAGACCCGCGCTACGACGCTGTGCTGCGGGTTGCCGTCGCCGCCGCGCCGCGGCGCAAAGGCGGCGTTCGCGGCGACCCTGACGCGGCCGCGTGCCGACACGAAGCGTGGCGTGGCGTGCCGTGACACGACGAAATGGGAGGTGGGCAGTGGCGACGGCCGGAATGTTGGGGAAATAGGTAGGGATTGGGAGGTAGGGACGGGTTGGAAAAAGGTGGCTTGGCTGGGAGGCGCGACATCCGAGGGGAGCAAAGTGTAGACACGAAGTGCGACTTCGAGATACCGACTTTTTATAGATTGAAAGAGAAGAGGCCCCTCATGGGTTCGAACAAGCGGTAGGATTTAACATTTGCTAAAAGGCTTTTTAAAGATCAACACAAAAGGCTTTCTGCATGGTTTTGTCAATACTACTGAAATAATTCATAAAGCGCTAAAATTCAGCGCTCCAATTCGGCTGTGTTATTATGATTATACTCGCAATTAAACGTGCTTTTGGATTCATAATAACACTTTTACTGATTACAACCAACTCCAATTAAATAAAACAAATGAAAATTGTAACTGTCGAAACAAAGTCACTCAATGTGTAACTGTTATTTAATATAGTATGAATTGAATTAAAAAAATACTCTGGGGCCTTAGTGAGTAAAATATTTAATGATACACTTTTTATATAACATCAAAGTGAAATTAAATCACTTTAGCCCTACTTGTCTAAAGTGCAAAAGCTATACTCGTTTTATTAATTTATTCGGTTGAAACTTGTTTGAATAATAACTATTTTGGTGCATTTTTACAAGTTTGTAAAGTTATAACTCACATTTTTCACCTTTTTTCGAAATATTCCATCACATATTTAGATGTGATTAAGGAAATTATCTCGAAGAAAATGATTATAAATTATATCTTTAATTTCATTCCACATTGTTTGTAATTTGTTTGATGATACAATTATTCTTTATCCTAAATTCAAACACTTCCTGACAGAAACCTATTACATTCTACTTTTAATTTATTTCTAACTGTTTGAATTATTTATTTTGTAAATAATGTACTATACATTGAAAGTTCTAAGAACTGATCCAGCATATGTGCAGGACAATTTGTAATTGATGAAAAAACAAGGCTTTGAATCATGTACATTCATAATATATTTTCACTAGCATTTTATCTTATTCACGGCCAAGGACATTCATATGGCCGCACTAGGCTATGTATTTATATTTCAAAACACATGACGTAGTTGATGTATGCCAGCTACGCCTTAAGATGAAAGAGCTGGAGAGCTGCAACATCGCCTTAAAAGGATAAGTCGTCCCTCCAGGAAGACTTGGAGGAAATGCCGCGGGGCGACCTCTCACGCGACCCGGCCCGCGCGCGCCCTGAGGGCGCCCCTCGACGCTCACCCTTCCCCGCCCTTCCCCGCCGCGCCGCTTTCCGCCGTGTATGTGCACCGGGTCGCGCGCGCTGTCCGTGCGGGGGAGGGGGAAGGGAAGGGCACGAGGCTCACAAAGCCACCGGCGGCGCCGCCGTCAAAGGAGCGAATTTTCCACCGGCCTGGACCCGCCCTCCCCGCCCCGCCCGTTCCGCGCCCCGCCGCCGCCCCCGCGTTCGCCGCCGCGCCCCCGCAGCGCCGCCCAGATTAGCGCCAGACGCGCCGGCCGACCACGCGCGCTATTTTAAGGCAGCGGCTCAACGGCGACCGGCGGCGTAGGCGAGAGGGCGCTGTTGTCGACCCGGACAGGAAACAAACTCGCCACTTGACGGGCGGAAAGTGTTTCCTTTTTTAGCTGGTGAGGGGCAGGGACGCTCCCAAGTCGAGTGAAAAGAAAATGATTCTCTTGTTCACGGACGTTTTCAAACTGCAAGCAAAAATTTAAAACAGATATACGCAAGTGTGCTAAAATGATAAAACGATAGCGCCCAAATAGAAAATTCAACATAGTTTAGTTTCCATTATCCGTAAATCTGAATGTGTGACAAATAAAATTAAAATGTCACTTTAGCGCAAAAGAAAATTATTTGCAAGGATATAATTTAATGAAATTGTCAAAAATTAAGTTAATTTAATGTTCAAATAATATTTTCTGAGAAGTATAAAATTGTAAAATCAACGTAGGCTACACTTTTACGTTATATTTCACAAGCAACTCTAAATGCCTAATGAATATAGAGAACTTTGATTACGTAAGCATAAACTGTTTTCACAAAGTAATTAACATGGAAAGGAATAGAACCTTTAAAATATTTTAACTCTCAACGTTCTTTGTACAAATATCATCAAATGTATCGATCAGGTGCTAATGATGTTCTATGTTCAAAAAGGGAATAAAAATGTAAAGAAACTAAGGCGTTTAGGAATAAATAATGATGACTGACATTTCAGGTGTTGTGGGGAAATGCAATGTAATGTCAAGGTTTTACACGAAACGAGCATTACAAGTCCTAATGCATTAGAGATTTCACAGCCAACGGCAATTTGAAATTGAAATCAATTCAAATATTACGGAAATACCTTTCCTTCATAAAGGACATATTGCTTAATATAAATTTATTCCAAAATGTCAGATACCGCTACGTACTCCTAAATGACTCAGATAATCATGTATATTGGACATGTGTGATAGAAACAAAACAAGTCGATAGTAAGAATACGATTATCTTAAGGACGGTGTACTATGAAATTCCAGCTTTGTGTTCCTGTTATTTCATGGGAGTTTGCTAATTAGAGAAAACCAAATCCATTCACATGGAGAAATTAGTTATACATAAAAAACAAGTCAGACAAGAAACAAATATACATTTACAACACTCATGCACATAAAAATATTTAACTAAAAGAGAGCACAATAATATGAAAGATTTTCTAAAAATCAATAGAGAATACATTAATAAAAAATGAATAATCATTATTAGCAGCACTGCAATCATAAATCAGAAAACATTAATTAGGCAATTGATCTTCATTTTCGCACATGGCAATCCCATCTAATAAGGATGAAACGGGACAATTCACATTGAATTCTAAAGGGGCACAGTGCATTCTGATAGAATGGTCAGGAAACAAATGGTCAGGAAAATCATTTCTCAAGGGTTCATTTCCAAGTACTTTTCAATAGGTCAAGAAATACATATGCAACGAAAGTTAGTAAATATTAAACGCTTTAGATAGGTAAATATATGAATAACTTCAAACATTTCTTTTCACTGAATATTCATTTAACTCTTGAGATATTGATTAATGTGATTCTGATGCAGCTGCATTTCAAACATTTGTATTAATGCAAAAGCGTTGAATTACAAGTTTCAGGTGCTCGTGCATTAAAAATCTGCGCGCTAACAAGTGGTGTGTATACGCCAATAAAATGAATAAATTTATATCTCAGAAATGTTAGAAGTTTATCATTTTACATTTGCGAAAGAAGAAAGCGACATGATGTACCACTAAGGTTATCCATCAACTGAGTGCATACTAATATTTCCTACAATCATGATGGAAAATTATGCTATAAAATGTAGATATGTGTGCATGAGAATATTGGGGTAGGACAGGTAAGAATCATATACTAAGCCAAACCTAATAATTTATTACTGAACGTGTGTTGAAGTATACCATTAAGTTTAGTAATGATAAATGAAAGATAATATTCAAGCACAATTATACTACATTTTGTAGCAATTCAAATGAACGTGTTTTAAAAAAAATACGTGTATTTTATATTACATTTTAATGAGAATATAAGAACACTTTAATTAACAGCAATAAAAGAAGGAAATACATTTGAAGAACTGTGCAATTGTTAATTAAATGAAATCTCAATATACTACAATAAAAATCGATGTTTGTCAGAGCTGGAATTTGGTACATCAAATCACTACAATGACTAACTTGCGCCAGGAGAATTAAATTGTGGAAAGACGGAAATTTTGAACATTTTAATTACATATACATTTTTTTCGGGAGCTATCTGGAGCAGAGTGTAACATACTTTTTTAGGTTAACTTGGCAATGAATTAAAGTATGTATCACCTGTTATTAATGACAAGGGAAAGAGAATCGGGAACAGAATATTCATAATACGAACTGAGCGCTTACCCAAGTTCAGATTTGATCAAGGGTATACTTTCCAACGATAAGTGATAAACTGTTTTTTTCTTACACAAGAAAAAGAAATAGGATCGTTTCTCCCACGACAAAAACACTTTGAAAGTCCACGTTGTTACAGACTTTTATTATCTTAATAGATCTGTTATATGACTTCTCGCACACTGATCCAGATACCTTCCTACACATTCATTTACATGGAAAACTAAATAAGACATACACTAACACATTGTGGATTTTTCTCCTCACGTTTTTACGAGACGATAGATTTTAAATATATTGAATTATACACGACAGTAGTTGCGATTTAAATACATTGTTTTTGTTGTTAATAACGCTTCAGAAATATAAACATGAAACATACAAGAATAAAGTCTAAGAACAAACAGAAAACAAACAATCTTTAAGCAAATGTATTGCGATGTCTTATTCTTTATTTTCCCCGTGGGTATTTCACAGAGGTGATTATTCGTGTGGTACGGACCTAGCGACGACGCACTAGGCGCGTCGCGCTTCATCGGCCGCGGCGGCACGCGGGAAGGGATGGGGGTGGGGTGGGGTGGGTGGCGGGCGCAGTCACTTCGCAGGCGGCCCCAGGCAGCCGCTTGTCGTAGCGCGAGCTCTTCAGCAGCTCGTCCAAGATCTCCTTGTCGGACTTGCCTCCGTCCGCGAACCCGTCATAGCTGAAATGAAATCCGTCGTAGCTGAAAACAGACGGCGCACACTGGCTCTTAGTGGGCGCTGCTGGCGGCGGCGGCGGCGGGCGGCGGCGGGCCTCATCTCACTCTACTTGCGCGTCTGCTGCGCCTACTTCGCTACGGCCGCTGGTGTCGGGCGAAAGGGACCTCACGCGTTCGCGGGACTCGTGTTTTGGAGAATGTCTCATCATTCAATGACTAGCGATGGAGACGGATTATCGAGGTAACGGTGCTGTATGTTTTTTTTTCGGACACTTTAAAACACGTACTAATGATTGGGTTGCAGAAAAAGATAAGTCAGACAAAGATGCTCAATGAAGAGAAAGACGAAAACATAAGATATAACAAAAATTGAATTAGAAATATCAGAAAAGTTGAAAATAAAAAACCTAAACCAGAATAAAAAAAGAAAAAAGGCTTTAACAAAAGATACTCTTGAAAGAGAGAATAACTTAACTTCTAAGTTTGAAATTAATTGAGAATACTTCCAGCAATTTTTTAGCAGTTATATTTTACTATTGTTTCTCAACGGTCTTCTTTATCGGATTTCAGGGTGAATATTTCTTCGTTATATATTCGAAAAATTTCATTTATACAATTTTTGTTGTAAAATAAATGGAATAAAACAATATAATATCAGTAAATTGGACAATCCCTCTGCATCAATCGTCATTGAATATTTGAAGACATGGTAATCGTAAGAAATAAAAAATAATAAAAACGACTAGTAATTTCTTATACTGAATATTGTAGAATCTATCATTATATCACCGCAAAAGACGTGAAGTTTCTATCTACAATTATTATACGTACTTTTTACACGTCTATTAACGTACCGTTTTATACTTTTTATCTGTTCTTTTGGTTTTGTAAGCATTTCATTAAAAACTTATCCGCATTTAAAACATTTGTTGCCACTGATTTCATGATTCATAACTTATTTTATAAGTGTAAATTATTTTAAAACAAATTAATGTGTATGCATAAATTAATTTTGTTTAAAAGTTTGGAAATAAATCATGTTAAGTGTTTATTGTTTACAGGTGAATTAGGACTAAAATCACGGAAAACTAACAATTAAACCCTAACTAACCCGCAAAACTTGTCATGCCGCCTTGTCTTCTGGAAATGAGGAATAGATGTTGGCTAGAACAATGAAATGTGTGTCATAATACAGTGTCTCGTAATGGTGTGTGTTATTTTGCACTCATCACGGCTAAAAATCACCTAAGCGACTATTGGGAGCTCTAGTGTGTTAAATGTCATGCATAAACGTACCCCTTTTTTGTCACTCAGCGGCCGTTAGTACGTGCTATCGAATCTAAACTATCGATACGAATAGTTAATAAAGCGAAAAAGTATTTTCAAACCAATTCTGTTTCTACAAATCTAATGGTTAACTACATCTACACTACTGAAAGCGCTCTGAACTACAGAGATTCGAGTGCATCGGAACTTTGAAGGTCGTTTCTAATTGAATCACAACGGCTATACGAAACGACTTCGGTCGAACCGACGAACTCAATGAAAGGGATCAAGAATCGCAGCCAGGTTAAGTTATTCAGAATTCTAAATACTCAGGCAAAGAAATGTTCTACTATCATTCAAGCCAGTGCCAGCCTTCTGTTTCCCTTCCCGAGTCTGTCGTGCAGGAAAACCTCCTTGGCATTAATCATCCACTATCACTTAATGCTTAAATTGGCATTGAAATGTAGGTATTAAGGACATTACCACTCAGAAGTTCAATAAACATGTTTTTTATCATATTTTAAAGTAGTGAATGTAATTGCAATAAATTAGAAGAAGCATTTAGGAAGTACTTGTAAGAAGATCGATAAGAAAGACATTTTGAAGTCTACATAAAATGCAGAAATTATGTCGTAAAAACGAACAGTAAATTGGTATGAATTGCACTGTTTCCAACAGGCTTATTAAATTGCATTACAGAGAAAACTTCATCATTTTAGATGAATGATTTCTCCTTCTATTTATTAACTCGTGCGATGCATTTTATCCTAAATAGCACGACACGGTGCCATCTAGGTCTGTGGAGGCCTGGAGGCTCCCTGCGAGCAGAGTCGGGCGGAGAGGAGCGCGCGGGGGCGGGCGGCGCGCGGCCAGCAGTCTGGTGGCATCGTGCGCCGCGCCGCGCCGGCGAGCTCACTCCGCCTTCCGCCCAACCCCAACCGCCGCTGCGCCTCAACCCGCGACGGGCACCGCTCAAGTGAAAATTACACCAGCGGCCAGCGGCCGGCGGCGGCTGCGGGGCGGTGGCGCGGAAGGGAAGGGAGGAGGGAGGCCCTGTAATGCGAGAAACAAGGTCTTTTGGCGGTGGGCGCGAAGTTAGAGCGGGGGGGGGGAGAGGAGGAGGAGGAAGGAGTCGAAGAAAGAACGACGGAGGAAAGCAAGGAGAGATGGAAGCGACTATTGCTCGCTCTGGAACAGACCGAGCGAGGGTGGTCAAGGTGGGGACCGCGTCTTCAAGATGGCGGACCGGTGCACTCACATCTCGGCCGTGCAGGCTTGCCACAACAGGAGGAACACAGCGGCCGCGTACAGCAGCTCCGCGCACAACCCCATGTTAGGACATCTGCAACACGCAAGAGAGAAAAGCATTGTAGTAGTGCAGGTTGTACGAATGAGTAACTCAAACTCATAGTTACTGGCAACATGAGTACTGAATACATATTGAAAGAGTTTGCATAGCACTAATTTTCTTATACCAGTAAGTGGTTATCCAAATAGATTGTAGTAATGGAAGCATTCAAATCAAACGAGTCAAATGTCTCTGAACAAATTATGTAAGAGAAACAAAGAAAAATTTCATCTTATTGCATTCACTAACCACGCAATACGAACAGGTGTCCAGTTCCACTCAACAGCATAACCAGAATGATTTCAGTATCTCTTATTTTAAAAATAAGACAACAAAATGAATCAATGTTGTGATTTTCTATAAAAAAATACAATAAATACAAGTTTTATAAAGAAAGTGGAAAGTGGCTAAAGCGAAAAAAACAAGACCAATGGACGATGTCTGTACAAACGCCTCGCTGATCCACTAGAGAGAAATCGTGGCTCTAGCCTAAATGAAGCATTCCGCTCTCTAGGTACATTTTAATTAAACATACTCTAACGTACGAGAGATGAGGCTTAAATCTAGATGATCTGCAAATTTCATTTTTACATATTTCGACTCTTGTTCTGTTGTATCTACTGCACCGTTCAATTGAAGGGCTTCTCGAAAAAACAGTTTTGGTCCAAAAAATCAAATTTGTGGAAAATGAGAAAAAACAGTTTACCGTCCTAACTCAGAAAGATATACAGAATTATATTCAGTACAGGAATACTTTTACACGGCATTAAACATAATGCAGTTGTGAGTAAATAAAACAATATATTTCACAAGTTACAAGAAAAAGAACAAATCGACGTATGTTTTTTTGCTTGAAAATTGCAGATTAAATAAGTATAATATTTGCTATTGTGCATATGTCAGCACAACAAGGAATCAGAAACTTGCAAAGATAAAACTACATGTATTTTATATATTGGATTGTTAATCTTGCATATAAAGAAAACCATTGAATCTCCAAAAAGAATTTACCAACGCGTTTTTTATTCATTCCAGATTAACTATATTTCGCAATAAACGCAATTAAAGCACTCAAAACAACTGTTGATCATTCATCACACTTACTGCCGTTATCTTCATTTGTTCATGTATAATGCTGTTTTTACCGGAAACAGTTTAGGCATACATTCTTCTATATATAAGCTATTTTTATTTGCTCTTGTTCTTTGTAACTAATGCATTTTAGACCAAGTCGATAGTATAATCTGATGCATAAAAGTTCACACTACCAAATGGCAGCACTAATTCAATTTTTTCGATTTTGGACTAATACTGTTTTTCCGAGAAGACCGTTAACTAATTTGAAACTGAACATGACGAATGAAAATTATAATAATTGATCTAAAAAGCTTCATAAGTAAAGTAATTTATCGATGACTTCTAGTGTAATTTTGTACGTTCATTCCATTTCAATAAATGTACACTCAAATACATTAGTGCCGTACCTTCCTTTGAAACACTAAAACTGTTTGATATTTTATATTGCCTCTAATATTTACGCATTCACGAACATTCAGGTTACTAACGTAACTGAAAACAAGAGTGTTGCTTTACACTGAACAAACCTTACCAACATCGAAGACAAATTGGAACTGTTTATTAGCAAGAAGAGTACGCCATGGACCACTGCACGCGAGGACGACAACAATAGTTCCACACGTGCAAGAGTTTCAAAGTACATCTTCCCAGTCGGGTCGTTTCCCAGCTAACCGGATCCGAGAGAAAAACTGCTCGCGACCAAGTTGGCAGGGCGGCACGGGCTGGCGCTCGTCGCAAAAACCCGGAGCGTGGCGTTTCCACCGGAAGAAAGCGGCGCTGCACAATGCTCTCAACGAGATGCCTCTTCAAGCCCCCTCCCCCTTGTTCTACCGCCTCGTGAGAGTCGTGCCGGGGCGGGGCAGTGCGCAGGGGAGGCGGCGGGCGACGAATAGCGGACCTCGCCCCCCCCCCCGCGCCACCGCTTTGTTTGGGTCTCTACGAGCGCGGAGTCGCCGAAGGGACGGTGAAACTGTTGCAAGGAACTGGTTCCTCTGGGCAATTGCTCCGAGAAGCTAATCAACTCGTGCTTTTGTTTTCGGGCAAATGTGTTCTTGGCAACTCCGTTTCTTCACATGCAATAACACTAAGGAAGAAGCACATTTCCGAGATGTGGATGTACGTAAACGTGATGCGCGCGATATGGAAACGGTCGTCTCGCAGGAAATCTAGCCTCTTTATGTGCTATACAGCTCGGAAGGCATTGAAATGTATCAGCTACGAGCTTTAACCTAACACTGCGCGGACTGAAAAATGAAACCGGTGTTTGAAAAAAAAAAAAGAATCGAAACGAACATCGCTGCGCGAAATGAGTTGCCGATGAAAGGCAGAAAGACTATTTTCCTCCAAAAGAAATACGAGAGAACAACAGAGGGAGGGATCCTGCCAGGTATTGACGGCAATGTAAACGTGTCAAGGATGGACAGGAGGCAGAGCCATATACAATCCAGAGACAGCCGAACAGCGCGCCGGAAGACCTGTCAGGCGAGACGGCGCTGCAGCCTCGCCTGTCCGCTTGACGCGCGAATGGAACGCGGTATCTGGCCGAGCGGGGGGGAGGAGGGGAGGGGAGGGGAGGCGCGGGGACGACGTCGGCAGTGTCGGGTGGGGGGCGGGGCGGGGGGGGGAAGGGGCAGGTGCGAGGCTGAGCGAGGGGTCGATGCGGCGTTTTGTCATCGGCGCGGTCGGATTAAAACGGAACGTGCTGCGCTGTCCGGCGGTCAAGGGTGAGTCGACGGCGGGCGGGGGCGACAGATCGTGTGGCGGGCGGAGGGGGGTGAGGGTGGCGGCGTAGGCAGGAGCGCCTCCGTGTCTGGTGTTAGAGGAGGAGGGGAAGCAGACGGAGGCGGGCGCGTCAGCAATGTGGTAGTGGGGATGCAATTTTAGGGGGGAGGGAGTCCGTTGTGAAGAAGCGAGTGTGGTTGGATAACCGAGAATTAGGGTCGAAAACAAGACCCGTTTGAATTGATGTACGCAACTCAGGTCATCATCAATATTCCGTAGAACTTTATTTGAGTTTATTAACTGTATTTCAAATGAAAATAGCTAGAGGAATTATTTTTTTACGTTAACTTTTTCAACTTCGTGGAAAAGATGATTGTGGTGAAGATTACGTTAATTGATGATGATGATGATGATGATGGTGATATTGATGGTGAGGTACTTGATGGTAATTGAGGATTATGGCGATTTTACGTTAATGTTTCTCTATAAAAAGTTGGTTTCAATTATTTTTTAAATTTTAATTATAAAGAGAAGAAATAAATGTTAAATAGTTATTTGTATTTCATTTTGATAATTGTATCGTTAACGAATTTCTCTTAACTATTATATCATATTTATATTGTGAAGGCTAACTTAACATTTCAAAAGTACTAACATACCATTTCAAGAGTAACAGATTAAATATTTAAATTTTGTTATAATATTTTGAATTTTTTCAGAGTTTAATATGATTTATTACTTGGATTGAAAACATTCATTTAAAAATACATAAACGTTGTTCGCATGATTTTCACTTTTTAAGGCATTAAAACATCTGTCTTTATGTTAAGGAACACACACATTATCAGCGCAACTGCACATTCTGTTATTAAAATGTGCAAGAAGTTCTAAAACGAAGCTACTCAGGTTACACTGGGCAAGATTTGTTCACTTCAAACTTCGCAGAAGACAATCATTATTTTAATAATTTAAGTAAACTGAACTCTTAAGTTTGCCATTACGTGATGTTTTAAGTACATATAGAAACTATATTTTCCTTTGTAAGAAAATTTTCGAGAGATCGGAACTAAAAATTGATATGATGATTAAGAATTTGATGAAGCTCTTTCAAACACATCAAATTTTCCGTTTTCTCTTCCATGCACAGAAACAAGAAAATATTACACATACTAATGAAAGTAAGGGTTTTGTACAAAAAGACGGACGAGTTTTGAAAAGAACGGTAAGAAACTATTTTCAAACAAAAAAGCCTTGGCTTCAAGAGAGCTGCGCGGACTTACATAAGATAGGAAATATAAACACATGGGTGGGAATAAATGAGAGAGAGGAGTAGAAATTACAGTGAAATAGAGTGTGATATCATAGTGAAGATATAAAGAAAATAATAGGTCAGAAAAGTATGTAGTTGTCGAGAGAATTGGGGCATAGACGGGTTGGGACAAAAATGAACGAAATCAAAGTTAATTCAAAAGCAATAGCTGGTCAAAACTGCATTAAATTAACAAGATGGCATCTTCGATTGTTTGAAAGAGGAAGTATGATCGACGTCAACGTCATATTCACATTATATTTGAAGTGAAACGTTTAAAAAAGTTACGTGTACACATAATGTATAATATTAACAATGATGAACTTAATTTGAGGATGTCTTATAACGAAAATCAAAGAACAACAGAATGTGAGGTCACAACCTCCCAAGAATTTCTTTTGGGCGTCAATAATGTGCAATGTCCGAGATTTGAGCCTCAGATGAAGATTTATGGCGCCAGTTCGGCCCGCGCCATGTGTCTACCCGCAGACACGAAAAAGAACACGGCTTAATGGGTAGAGAAGGTGGTTTAGAGCTTGTTACGTCCCGAGAAGGACTGGTTTTCGGCTTTGAGTTTCGTGACTTGAAGATTCGATAGAATAGTCTTTCACTCTCTTCAGTAGCTAGCTATTCTGTCGGTTGGTTTTTAAACCACAAATACCGATGATGGTCTTAAAATTGCGTAAACGTATTTTACTCTCCCTATATGTATTATATGTAATTTAGCTCCCGGAACGCGCCCCAACTTAAATAATAATAATAATAATAATAATAATAATAATATGCCTTTATTAATATGGCGAGGCTCGGGCCATCAGGCCCGCTCTTCCGCCTGACCACAAAGTTTATACAAGTTTCATAGAAATATTTATGTATTTATAATATAATTTAATAATTAAGAATCATTCTTAATAATACATAGAAACTGCGGTAGCATTGGCTCTATGTGATTGTAATGATAATCCTAGCAAATGAAAACAAAATTAAGAGTTTATAAATAAGTCGTATCGGGTTTTACTAATAATTTTTTTTACGTTCGTGGAAATGGCGCAGTTCAGTGGAAAACTATTTAATTTTGATTTTAAAAAAGTTGGTGAAACTAAAAATCAAAGTTGTCAAGTGGTTATCCCTGATTTTTGTTTTTTTCTACTTTCTTCCCAAGGTACCGAAACGTTGTTACGTCACGTTCTGCCAGAAATGTAGCCAATTATTTAATTTAATATCTTTTCCATGTTACAAATCCTGTGAAAAATCACAAAGAACGTTTCAGTGAATTCAAAAACATCATTCACTGATAGCAATTGAATAGGATTTAATTTCAGTGAATCAAGAAGTTATAGTTTTCTCTTTACTCAACATGGATATATTTTACACAATTCCTCTACAACAGACAGTATTGCTTTCGCCCAGAGTATAAAGATCGATTTGATTACGAGTAGGTTTTCTCTTTTTGCTTGAATAATATTTTACCCACGTT